GACAAAGGCGTGTGGAGCATTATCAAGATCCTGGGGTAGTTTAGCCTGAAGAAAGAAGTGAGAAACACCTGGAATGGGGAGCACTGTCATGTGAATCCATGCTCTTTTGAGAAGGCAGCATGGTTTCCTTGCATATAACTCCAAGTACTATGGAGTAACGTGGAGAGTAAGGCCTTACCCTCAGCTTACCTATAGCAAAACAAGGGAAGGAGCAAAATCCACTTGTAAACTATGCTACCAAGCAGGCTTAACCAAAGGGATGAAAACATGGAACCCGTAACACCTACTTGACTTTTTCTGAAATTAATCTTAACTCAAACTTCTATCACAACCTTTTCCTCACGATAACTGAACTGTGTTTTACCAGCTGATGCTCTTACTTTCATTTCGTTGACTGCTCTTGAAGTTACTTCAATTGATGCCTTTTTATTCGATGATCGTGCTAAGTCATTCACTGCTCTCATCTGGTTCAGAATGGGAACATTGTTTAACTAGCTGCCCAGAGATTGCTCTTTGTGAAGCTTAGCTGAGAATAGTAATTTCTTTTATTGCTCCATTTTACAAATTAAGTTTCCTTTAGCGCTTCTTACTTCACAACTGATCCCTGAGGACGATAACTCTGGGGCTACAATACCCTATATTGCTTGACACGTACGCTTGCGTATAGTTGAAGAGGGTTGCTCTTAGTCAGAGTAGATTGCTCCAGTTGGCAATCCTGACTATTACTCTGCACTCTTGCTCTCTGAAAAGATATTCCCGAGCAGCTTTCGGTTCGACCAAGCATCGGACCACTAATGATTCTTGACCATGGCGAGAAGAAGCTTCGAAGCAAAGTCATTCCTATGGTAAAAGTGCAATGGACAGGAAGAACTCCTGAGGAGTGTACTTGGGAGCGAGAGGACGAGCTTCTCCTGCAATATCCCGAGTTTCGAGACAGGTATGTTTCTAATTTTGAGGACAAAATCCTAAAATAGTGGGGTGAATTTAAGAACCCGTACCGTTAATTTAGGAATTTAATTAAATAAATATGAGTTAATGAAATAATTCCATAATTGGCCCTAAAAATTATGAGAAGGCTTAAATAATTATGGTAAGGGATTAATAATGTTGAAAGTCACTTTTCTGACGAAAAGTGCAGATACCGGTTCTGCCTCACGATATAAATGCGTACTGATAAAGTATCCCAGAAAATTATGAAAAGTGTGTATATATTACTAGAATAATATATAGGACTAGTATAACAAGTTTGGAGTCAAAATAATGAGAACTGGTGTCAGAACTGATACTGGCTAAGTAAAAGCGCGTACCGGCAAAGTGCTGCGAAAATAAAAATAAAAATAATAAAAATCTTAGAAAAATGGCTAGGTTAAGAATCCTAAGTTTGGGATTAAAATGCTAAGCGTAGCTATTAATGTTAATACATTGAGATCAAAACTTAAACATCTATAAATGCTTGTTGGCACATGATCCTAGGTCATTTCTGGTGCCTTCCTACGTGAGAGTTGCTGTTGTGTTTCTCTCCAAGCTGACCAACCGTCCCTCTCCCTCTTTTTGAGCCAAAGTGACTACGTTTCTTCACTTTTCCTTCATCAAAACACCATTGTTGGGTGTGGGGAAGACTTGAGTGGGTGAGAGACTCTTATTTTCTGAGTTGTGGGCACTGTTTAGTGAGAGTTTTGGGCTGAGTTCTTGAACCTTGTTGTGGGAGCCATTGTCATGGCATTGTGAGCTTCAAGGAGTGATCTTTGAAGAGAAAGAACCATTCTTGGTGTGCCATTTTCATGGTCCTTGAAGTCAGAGCTTTAGGGGCTAATTGGTGAGCTCCAAGAGTACCCTTTTTCTGAGTTTGAACCTTTGGGTAAGCTTCACCACCTTTGATCATGATTTTTCCTTGCTTAAAGTGGAGTCTTGGCATTTTAATGAGTTGTTTAAGTAACTAACATGAACATGAACGTAAATGTGTATAAAAATGCATGCTTGGACGTTCTTATGGGTTAAAAGTTGAACCTTGGGAGATATATCTCGCGAAATGCAGAAACTGCATTCTGTCGCGAAATATCCGGATATGATATCCGGATATGGGGTTGGAAATATCCAAATGTGGATATCCGGATATGGCCCCGACAAATATCGGGATATTCTAGAAATTTTGAGACAGTGACTGTTCTGTTCATACAGAACTGTATTTGGGGTTTGTGGACCCTAGATTGGTTAAGTTAAATCTCTGTAATAATTAACTAAATCAGAATCAAGGTGATTAAGGGCTTATGACTTTGTGAGAAGCCTGATGGCATGAAAAGTAAAAGGAAAACGTTGTCTTTGTGTCATACACTGTTAGATTGTGAATGTTGATATGATTGTTGGCTTAAACAGATTGTGATTGTGCTGTTTGTGGACCTTGAGCTAGTGTGGACCTTGGATTGGATTGTTAGCTTGTGAGGTAAGCTTTCATGTCTTCGATTTAGCCATTGTTGGTTCCACCATACCCCATGGGAGAATGGTTTATATATATGATGTGTTTTCATGTTTGGATATTTGAAATGATGTTGAGTTGTGATGTGCAAGTGCCTTATGATATGCATGTGTTGTTCCACCTAGACGGTAAGCCTGAGTATGTTGGAGACATACAATAGGGTGATTTTGTGGGTGGGTGCAAGTGGTGTCTTGCACTGATTGTAGGTAATAGACGTATGTAAATCCTGCATTTCTCTGGCCAGTAGAGTATTTGACACATATGACATCATTATCTGCTGCATTGCACTGATTTTGGAACTTATACTGTTTTACTGCTTTTAGAACTTATATTGCACATGTAAGTGAGCTTGGGGTGGAAAGATCCTTGAGGACCCCTTGTCTTACTGAGATTTCTGTCTAGAGATCTCACCCCACGTTTGGGGCACATTTTCAGGTTCAAGTAACTCAGAGGTTGATACCTCGGGCAGTAGGAGGCCGGAGCTGAGTCGAGATTTATGCTTTTATGATGATGTACTGGATTCTGACATACTTTACATTTATTACCATGTTATTTGATTGAGACTCTGTTGGGCTTTGTTGCCTTATTTGGTGAGCATGTGGGTTGTCCATGCCACATTGACTTTACTTTGTTCTTTTAGTTTCGAGTTGTATAATGTATCAGGATTATGGTCCGGACTACGTGTTGTGGTTTCGTGATTTAGATACTCACTTAATTACATATGAGGTTATTCAGTGTAGATAGTTGTCTATTTGCAATTTTCATACAGACAATGTTTTGAAAAAGAATTAAGTAATCAATTTGGTAATTAATAATGACGTCATAATTGCAAAGAAAAAGTTGATTCTACATTTTAATTAACATTTTAATTAAGTGTAGTTTAATACGATGACATGATAACAAACCAGGTATACACCGAGTGTTACAGCACCCTTAACTTAAAGCCATTATCCACGATCCCCAATATAATACTTCAAAAATTAACCCATATAATCACTCTTACGCAATCTATGTCTCTAGAGATCAAATAATTTTTTAGCTGCTTTCATAATGTGAAAGGAACTAATAAATTAACAGGGTAGTGTCTGCTTAGTGCTTAATAGTTGTCTAATCTACGAAAGAAAAATTGTAAAAGAACGAATACGAATAGAAAACATAAGGAATGTTAATTACTTTGATAATTTAATTATGTGCCTCATGCATGCTAATTGATATATACAATTCCTGGGGCCACAAAGTTTTCCTCTAATTTTCTACAGGAATAGTTAATCCAAATTTATATAGGTCAAACACTATGATGCTATATACCTGTGAGACTTTATAGGTTAAAATAATTGGTAAAAAACCTCAAATAGTCAATTAAGCTTTATTTCCAGCTTAGGTCCACTACTAATGCACGCTAATCCAATACAATATACCTGTGACTGTGAGACTTAAGAAACATAAATAGCCCGTACGAAGGTTGACGGAATCCATAAATCAAATTATTAACAATATTGTTACTTATTAAATTATATATGCGGCTACTGGCTAATTAATTAAATGTCTCAAACTTCATATGCTTTTTGGTGTGACAAACTGTCATATTCTTGTGAATATAATTCTGCGTACTAGCTAGTTATGCAAAATGGTAGCTTGCCATCCATTTCATTTCCTTGACAAATATAATATTAGTCTGCTTATTATATTTATTAATATATAGGAAATAACTTAAAAAAGTAAAATTCGGATTCCCGGTATGTAAAAGTTAATAAATTGCACTGGTTAGTCAACTCCGTATCGATTCATTGCATATAAATACATTTTTATTGGAATTCTAACATATATATTAAATATTAAATTCCTAAGCTTCCAATTCCATTATCAATTACTTTTGTGTTTAATTAGTATTTTAATTCGCAGCATTCAACATTTGCTTTGAAAAGTATATAAGTACACGTCTCTTACTTCTGCTCGTTTTCAATATTTTTATCGATTCATAATTCGTCCAATTATCAATGAGTCAGCTGACTTGTTTGTTACAACTTACAACTTGTTTTTTTTAGTATTAATAGATAGGATATGTTCCATGACAGACTTGCCTTTTTATTTAAGTAGCTAATATTATAGAAAACACAATAATGTAAAGGTGATAAATGATAAATCCCACATTTCTTTGTAATTCTGTAATTACTTTATTAGCCTTTGTTTTATTACAGTTAAAGTTAGTTACGTGGTTAGTTTGTTAAGTCTAACCACATGGTTCTCTTTAGTTCCCTTTTACTTTCTGACTTCACTTTAGTACTTAGGATATATATAGGGTAACTCTGTAAGTGTACGAACTACTGTTCATATTTTTCTGCTTTTCATAATGAAAGTACTTTACCTTTCTCCATATCACAAGATGGTATTAGAGCTCTCCAAAGAGCTCTGATGTGCGCCATTTTTTCTTCTTCGATTCTTCGATTTGTTTCGAGTATTTCTTCTCCTTTCTTCATTGTTCTTCCTTTGAATCCAGTGAATCAAGGTGTTCGATCAACTTTTCTGCATGGTGAATCAGAGCTCTTCACTTACCTTGGATCAGGTCATCAATCAACCTGAGATTCAAGAAAATGCTTCCAGTGCTGCAAATCAGAATGCTTCGAATCAAAATGTTGCGAATCGGAGTGGTGCAAATCGGAATCTTACACAGGATTTTTTATATCCAAGAAATCCTTACTTCCTTCATCCAAATGAGAATCCATCTCTCATACTTGTGTCTAGAACTATGAACGATAAGAACTACCATAGATGGGCAAGAGCCATGACTATGGCTTTGATTTCTAAAAATAAGCTTTCCTTTGTGAATGGTTCGATCTCTGTTCCTAAACCTTCTGATCAAGATTATGTTACTTGGGAGAGATGCAACACTATGGTACTGTCATGGTTACATCGATCCATAACTGATTCCATTTCCCAATCAATTTTGTGGATGGATAGGGTTGTTGATGTGTGGAAGGACCTCAAGGAGAGGTTTTCACAATCAGATATTTTTTGGATCTCTGACTTACAAGATGAGATTTTTTGTCTTCATCAAGTAGACAAGTCTATATCAGATTATTACACTCAACTCAAGATCCTTTGGGATGAGTTAGAGAATTTGCAGCCAACACCTTCTTGTAAGTGCATTCGACCTTGCTGCACAATTGCACTACAAGTAAGGAGCATCAAGGATAGGGACTATTCAATTCAGTTCCTTAAGGGCCTCAATGAGCAATTCTCTCATGTGAGGTCCCAAATCATGCTCATGGATCCTCTTCCATCAATAAATTGTGTGTTTTCTTTGGTTACTCAGAAGGAAAGACAAATGCATCTTGAAGGCTTAGTGCCTAATTCCATGGATGGGATGTCAAAAGTGTTTTTCAACTCATCTGCAAAACATATGATTGCAAGAGATTTCGCTCCAATACTAGAGAAAGAGGACGTGGCTACAACTATGGGCGTGGACGATCAACCCCTAGATTGTGCACACACTGTGGGAAAACAAGTCATATTGTTGATACATGCTTTGAGAAGCATGGATATCCACCTGGATACAAGATGAAAGGTGGATATAAGGCTGCTAATGCTGCTCATTCTATAGTTCAGGATACTTCAAATGCACTTGGTGATCATCATGATATTGTCACACAACAAAAGAGTAAGGAGAACTTTACTAAGACTCAATATGACACTATACTTGAGATGATTCAACAATCCATGCAGCAGTAACTTATTCAGTAAGCATCGCAACAATAACAATTTGTTTACCCTCATATGAGCAATATGATGCAAGCAAGAGCACTTAACACTGAAAGCAAGACAACTAGTGCTGAAACAGCCAACACTTCTTCAAGTAATGATTGCTTACAGTGGATCCTGGACACATGAGCCACTGATCATATAACTAACTCATTCACAAGCTTATCCTCAATACAAAAGATTGCACCAGTAGCTATTTCTCTATCTAATGGTAGTTAGGTCCATTCCTATTACTCAGGGACTATGATTTTCTCATATACACTTGTTTTGTCTAATGTCTTGTTTGTTGAGGATTAAACTGTCAATCTCATATTTGTGACCAAACTGGCACAAGAGTCTAATTGTTGTGTAATTTTTCAGCACAACAAATTTGTACCATCCAACACATGCCTACCATGGAGATGATTGGTTCAGCTAGGCTCAAGGACCTCCTCAAGGGAGGCTTATACCTCCTCACTCAAGACTGTAACCAGAAAAAATCAATCCTTAGTTTTACAAACCAAATCCACAAATACCATTTTTGTTGATTCTCCTTTTACTGTAAAGCCTATTTCATTAGATATTTGGCACCTAAGTTTGGGCCATTGTTCTTCTGTAATAAAGACAATGATGACACAATACCCTTTCATTTCTTGTAAAAACATAGATAGCCCTAATGATGTATGCCATTATTCAAAGCAAAGGAAATTTCCTTTCATTTCTAGCTCCTCTATCTCTAATAATGCTTTTGATTTGGTGCATATAGATATTTGGGGGCCACATTTTATCCCTTCTATTCATGGTCATCGTTACTTCCTAACCATAGTGGATGATTACACACATTTCACTTGGGGTATCCTGATGAAAACCAAGTCCGAATCCAGAATGCATATTCGATCATTTGTTTCACTTGTAGAAAACCAGTTCCATGTAACTATAAAGACATTTAGGAGTGATAATGGTCAGGAGTTTATAATGAAAGATTTTTTTATTCAGAAAGAGATCATCCATCAATTATCATGTGTGTAATGTCCACAACAAAATGGTGTTGTGGAGAGGAAGCACCAACATATTTTAAACATGGCAAGGGCACTTCTCTTTCAAGGAAATCTTCCTATAAATCTTTGGTCCTATTGTGTCTCACATGCTATACATATCATAAATAGACTCTCTTCAACAAAACTGCAAAATAAATCTCCCTATGAGTTGCTGTATAAAAGAACACCAGTGATCATTCACCTCAAAGCTTTTGGTTGTTTGTGTTTTGCTTCTACACTCAAGGTTAATCGTACCAAATTTGATCCGAGAGCCCGAAAGTGTATATACATTGGACATAAAGATGGTGTCAAAGGTTATATTTTGTAATGATATCAATTCCAGAGAAGTCTTTCTTTCTAGGAATGTGATTTTTTATGAATCATATTTTCTTTTTTGTGAAATTTGTGTAGATGATCAACCTGCCTCTTCTGACAAATCAATTGTCTTTCTAATTGATGGGACCACACCATATGACTCACCCTCACCTAATCATCCACTATGTGAGCAGATGTCACATTCAGCAACTCCACACCATATAACACCAAACCAGTCTGTGCCCATCAGTCCTATATCACAATCTCCTTCTAATCAAGACCGACCCCTGCCCACCAGACAAACGCAATAGCCAAGCCTTAACCAACAGTTACCATCAGCACTTAGACGGTCTACTAGAGTAAAGAGGCAGCCACAACACTTGGCTGATTTTCGATGCAATCTTTCTTCAGCCTTGGTTGATCACACATCATCTCCAGGTACTCATTTCTTTACTTTTCATCCTATTTCCTTTATTGTTTCTTATAAAAATTATTCAGCTTCTTATGCTTCTTTCTGTCATAACCTTAGTTCCTTTGTTGAGCCTAACTCTTATAGTAAAACAGTGCAATCTAATGAATGGGTTTCAGCTATGAAAGAGGAGCTTGATGCTCTTGATAGAAACAAGACCTGGACTTTTGTTGATCTTCCCAAAGGGAAACACCCCATTGGATATAAATGGGTTTACAAGATCAAACATAACCCTGATGGTTCAATTGCTCGTTACAAGGCTCGCCTTATTTCCAAAGGCTACAATCAAATGGAAGGAGTAGACTAATTTGAGACATTTTCTCCAGTAGTTAAGCTCACTACCATTCGGCTTCTACTTGCCATCGTTGTTGCCAAAGATTGGTTCCTTGAACAAGTTGACATTAATAATGCATTCCTTCATGGTGACCTCTCAGAGGAAGTGTATATGATTGTTCCTCAAGGAGTTGTGTCTTCCAACCCAAAACAGGTATGGAAGCTCTACAAATCTCTATATGGCCTCAAGCAGGCTAGTCGTCAGTGGAATGCAAAACTCACATGTGAGCTTTGAAATCTTGGATTCATCCAATCAAGTGCAGACCACTCACTGTTTACTAAGGTTGTTGGTAGCTCCTTTACATGTTTGCTTGTTTATGTGGATGATATGGTACTAGCTAGAAATGATATTAAAGAAATTAATTTGGTGAAATAGCACCTAGACAAATTGTTTAGAATTAAGGACTTAGGTCCTCTCCATTTTTTCTTAGGAATGGAAGTGACTCATTCCAAACATGGTTTGGTGTTAAATCATAGAAAATATGTACTTGAATTGTTGTCTAAAAATGGTTTACTTGGTGCCAAACCTGCCTCATCTCCTATGGAGTCTTCACTTCGTCTCAAACAAGGAGAAGGTGAGTTGTTTCATCATCCTGCTGCATATAGACGATTGGTAGTACGTCTATTATATCTTACCAATACAAGGCCAAATATTTCCTTTGTTGTCCAGCAGTTGAGTCAATTTGTTAGCAATCCAATGAAGCTTCAGTATAATGCAGCTTGCAGAATTCTTTGCTACGTGAAAGCTGCACCAGCCAAGGGTTTAGTGTTTCCTACTCAGAATTCTTTGACTTTATCTGGCTTTGTTGATGCAGATTGGGCCACATGCCCAGATACCCGTAAATTTATCACCGGGTTTTGTATATTCCTTGGATACTCTCTTATTTCTTGGAAGTCAAAGAAGCAAAGCACAGTTTCCAGATCCTCTGCAGAAGCAGAATATCGAGCTCTTGCAACTATTACTTGTGAGCTTCAATGGCTCTCATATTTACTCCATGACCTTCAGGTGCCTATGCCTAAGCCTACTAATGTCTACTGTGATAACCAAGTTGCCATACATCTAGCTCATAATCCCTCCTTTCATGAGCGTAGCAAGCACATAGAACTTGATTGTCATGTCACTAGAGAGAAAATTGTGGCTGGCTTGATTCATTTGTTGCCTATCTCCACTGCTAAACAACTTGCTGATCTATTTACAAAGGCTCTCCAACCTGCTCCTTTCCATGATTTCATCTCCAAGTTGGGGCTTCTTGACATCCACCTTCCAACTTAAAAGGGGTGATATAGAATATATTTATTCCTTGTAATTATGTAATTACTTTATTATCCTTTGATTTATTGAACTAATAGTTAGTTAGTTACAGTTAGTTTGTTAAGTCTAACCACATGGGTTTTCTTTAGTTCCCTTTTTCTTTCTGACTTCACTTTAGTACTTAGGATATAGATAGGGTAACTCTGTAAGTGTACGAACTACTGTTCATATTTTTTTTTCTTTTCATAATGAAAGTACTTTACCTTTCTCCATATCACAACACATTTAGAAAAGCTTGGGTGAGATGAGCTTATTCCAAAGCAAGTTTTATACGTAACTGTTATAACCAATTGCTTTAAAGGTCATAATTTTTATTGAAAGAAAAATCATAAAAATGATTTCTATGTTAATTATATATTATTGTATATATATTCAAAAACAAAACCATCAATAGAAGGCAATTAACAAATATGATATTTATGTTAAAGAAATATGATATAAAATCTATTATAAAATATTAAGAGTAAATACGCTTTTTAGTCCCTAACAAAAAACATGGTCCCCACTTTAGTCCCTTACAAAAATAAATTAGTCAGTTAGTCCCTAACAAATTCAAAGTGGACCCATTTAGTTGAAATCGTGGTCCCTCACAAATTCAAAAAAGACCCATATTAGTCCCTCAAAAGGACTAAAATGGGTCCACCTTGAATTTGTAAGGGACTAACTGACTAATTTATTTTTGTAAAGGACTAAAGTGGGGATCGTGCTTTTTGCTAGGGATCAAAAAGGGCCTTTACTCAAATATTAATGAATGACTTTAATTTGGATTTCAAAATGGTAATTTGAATTTGAATTCTAAAATTTGTTGGTATTTATTCTTCCATTATGATTATTTGATACTTGATTAATCGTCAATCAATCTTGTAACCCTGTACATGGATACGACCATGTTAATGAGATAAGGGGTTTTTTCCTTGACATGACACACATTCATTCGTTTTCTGGTTGTTTTTCTCCCTAATTTGCTCTTTGGTTTCTACTTGTTTTCTCTCATACAAATTCCCTTCAACTGATATCTCTTTATTCATATCAGCACGACAAGCTCTTTATGAAAATCTACAACGACATAGTATTCCAAACCATAGCCTTTTACAAAAAAAAAAATTATAAAATAAAATAAAAAATTAAAATTCTTGCAACATTTTTTTAAAAACCTCTTCGAACAAAATAACCCTTTGTCTACAAGGTAGTATGTTCTTCCTTTTTACTCTTCCTCCATTTTTTTTATTTTAATCTTAAATATGAAATACCCCTCTGTCCCTAAAATGATAGTAGGTTCTTGCTCCTTAAGTAGCAGAATTATGGAAAACATTGAAAAGCCCAAGTTCCACATCCTGAAAGTGAGTTGTAACAATTAT